AAACGCCATGGTAGCTCAGAGAAATCCTCCTTAAGTGGCTACACGAGCCAAATAGGTTATTGCACCGTACCCGTGTTCCAGATAAGGGTGTACCCTCGAAGTTGTTGAGGGCATACGTTGTGATTTGTGCCAAGATTGGTTTCACCAACGGTGCAGTAAATTATGGTCCAAGGCAGTTGAACACTATGCTGACCACAAGTTTCTGAAATGGGTTTGTCCAAACTGCACCAGCACTCTCGGAGATTTCAGGGCGAAAACTCCACCAAAACGGGACTCCCCGTCGCAGCTGGCAGCACAAGCTACTCCGTGTAACTCGACCCCGAGCGGGTAGATGAACAGAAGTAACCCCGAGCTAGGAACTCTGATGCCTGGGGAGGGAAACCAGTCTGGAGTAGTTAGTGACAGAAAATTGATTTTAGTAGGAAAGCCTGAGCGTGGTGGCCAACCAACCACGTCAGTGGCACCTCTGGGCCGAGGGGTAAAGTCTAACCCTAAGGCACGCATTGCCCATTCGGGAACAGCAGGGATGAGCGTGCAGGTAGTCGGTAACAGGCAGCGGACCAACAAGGCTACCCATGGTCACTCGCCACCAGGGAAAGGGGCACTTGGTGCGCGCATGGACGCTCACGGGGAGGCCATTGCAAAGCTATCCGAACTAAACACCGGCCTGAGGGACTCCTGCGTAGGCTTGAGGCCCAAACCATCACAGCCCTAGGGAAAAACAGAAATGTCGTTATTAGGGGCATCACAGAGCCGTTTTGTAGAGGAATGCGCAGCCGCAGGCAAGTGCCCCTACAGAAAGTTAAAAACATAATCCGGCTTACTCAGATCCCCTCAGAGGTGCAAATCAAACGAGTTTTGCGTCTTTGGAAGTGGCAGGGCGATCAACGGGCACCTAGCGCCTTGCCACCCGGGCCAACCCTTGTAGAGCTTCATAACCCGAGGCACCGGGACTTGATACCGGCAGCTTCCGCAAACGTGAGGAAATTCATTGAAGAACAGGTAACCATACGGCCAGAATACTCCCGCGACCACAACACACTGACCTAACCTAGCTGCAGGCAGCAATTTAGCACCAGGCTTCTGTCGGTCAACGTGCCGCGAATGGTGCACGAGAATCCGCGCGGGAAAATGACCCCTGCTTCCAGGTCTGATCAGAGGGATTGATCTCTAGGGCACGAAGACCTCAATAAGGCGGAGGACCCACAGGGTAACTCCACCGCTAGACCAGAGGTAAAAAACTTGTAGGTCACTTGGGAGCAACTTCCGGGTGAAACCTGTCAAAAGCGATAGAAGGTGAAAGGGCACAGGCTCTCAGTGTTTACTACACTAACGCCTGCAGCCTAATGAACCGGTGGGCCCAGCTCCGGGCTGAGGCTGACCAAACGCATTGCCTCGCCATAACGGAGACTTGGCTCAGGTCGGAAATTTATATCGCCGGATTCTGTCCACCAGGATTCCGGGCTTATCGCTGCCATCGTCCAGGGGATAGGTTGGGGGGTGATACGCTACTGCTTGTGGCGGACGGCCGTGGATACCCTGTGCACGGAATACAGTCAGGCTGCCGGGTGCGTAATCAAGCTCACAGGAGTAAGATTAGCAGTCCTGTGTGTTTATTGTAGCCCAAGCGCACGCACCTTCGAAAATAAGTTGCTGATGGATTTTCTTCGGTACACAACAACCCGGGCAAGTAGGGTTCTTGCTCCCGAGATCGAAAGATAGATGAAGTATGCGCCAGTGGGCAGCTTCGGGGATGAGCTACTAAAGGTGATGCACGAATTAGTGCTCACACACCACGTCAATCCCACTCGATGGCGACTGGGTAACTCTCCCAGCACATTAGATTTTGTGTTTACCAAAAGCAGGAATGACATCGGGAAAAGTGCTATAGGTGCACCGCTAGGCAGAAGTGACCACGCCAGTATCCGGTGCCAATACGTCTGTGCTCTTCCCCCTCTCAAGTCAAATTGCGCCGACGCTATGGGCGTATGAATCGGTATGTCTCCAGGCTGCGGCACAGACCATGTTCTGGTCAGAGGCAAACTATGGGGTTGTGGAGTCGTGGGACTCGATCAGGAATAACCTGCTAACTCTCAACAATAGTTTCGCACCTCTGTGTCCCGTAAGTTCGAGGACCACCCCACCCTGGTGGTGAAGTCGAATGAAAAGCCCTGATTAGAAAGAGGGTCGCGTGGCAGAGACTCTGTGTCACAGGTGGTCATCTAAGATGCTTACAGTACTTACAGTACGTGAGCGTGTGTCTTTCGACCCCATCTTCCTGGATGCTAAAAGAGCTTTCAAGCTTTCTCTGGCGAAGAAAGCAAAGCGTTCCCCTAAGGCCTACTACGGGTATGTCTAGTCTAAGCCGACTACAAGGGAAGCAGCCTGCTGTATCCGGAAGAAGGACTACACCCCACCACGACAATCTCCCAGAAGGCCATCGCCTTGTGTGCGCACTTCCAGTGTGCACACACGAAGGATGAGGGCATCTGCGACCCGTTCAACAGCCGGTAAGTTCCACGTTGATGGAGGAAATCACTTTCCTACCGGAGAAGGTGGAAAAGATCCCGAGCAGTTTAGATAGGGGCAAAGCGGCGGGACTGGATGAAATCCACACAGTACTGCTTAGGCCTCTGGGGAGTATCCTGGCAGCCCTGTTAGCTCACCTCTTCAATCTGTCCATGGTAACAGCCACATTGCCACAGAACTGGAAAGTAGCTACTATGGCCCCCATCCACAAAGGGGTGACAGGGAACTGGCCACTATGGGCCCGTTAGCTTACTCTCCGGGATCCTAAAGATGATGGAAAGGTTAATCACCTCACCCAATGCAGTCTGCTGGCGGATGCTCAGCACGGATTTCGTGAAGGCCGATTTTGCCCCGCAAATCTTTCTGGATGTCGTGACTCGGCGGCTGGACAGGGAGGGGGAGTCGAAGTCTGCTATCTGGAATTCAGTAAGGCTTTTGACTCCGTAAACCATCGTCTGCTGCTAGGCAAGGAATCCACCTTAGTTTAGTCAGCTCGACTGAGAGCCACCTGACAGGGAGAACCTTTCGCGTAAGGGTGGAGGGACATTGGTCGGACTGCGAGCATGCTTACAGCGGGGTCCCACAAGGCTCGGTCCTTGGACCATTGTTCTTTCTCGTCTTCATCATTGATCTAGTCCCCCGTCTATCAAACTCGGCGTTCATCTTTGCAGCCGACGTTATTCTCCTTGGCTCGCACCAGGGTGTAGACCTCCAGCTTGATCTAGATGCAATGCAAGCATGGTCTGTATGGTCGGGTATCCCTTTGAATGCAGCGGAGTGTATGGTTCTACGAGCCGGGAGTGCTTTGGGGGCTGAGCCAAGCCATTAAAGAGCTCGAGAAGAGGAGGCTATGGCAGTAGTGCCAGAGATCAGGAACCAAGGGGTCAATTCGAACTCCGCTTTCCACTCCTCTGCCCAATGTCTTGCTGTGGCATGTACGGCCAATAGAGCGTTATTCAGGTTGATGCGCACAATGACGTACAGGGACCCTGTTGTGCTAGTCCCTCTCTACATGGCCTTCGTTCGGCCGCACCTAGAGTACTGTGTACAAGCTTCATCTCCAGCTCTGAAGAAGGACCAAAAGGTTCTGGAAAGGGTGCAGAGGAGGTTCACGCGCATGTTCCCGCACCTTCAGAGAGTGACATGCCGAACGCCTTCAGGGGCTGAACCTGTTCTTACTTAATCAGAGATGGCTGAGGGGGGACCTGATTGAAACTTTCCGTATCTTGACGGGTTTCTCTCATGGAACGATGTACCCAACAGGAGGACACACAGCATGAAGTTAGACTAGCCTCGGGCACCCAAACACCTGAGAGCCACCTTTTTTTGCACCGGGTAATTAATACATGGAACAAACTACCTCAGGAGGTAGTGACGTTAAAAACCATTGCCGGGTTCAAGCTGAAGCTTGACACATTCTGGACACCAAAGTTACCCGATTGTCCCTGACACCGGGCCTAAGGTCGCTAATAGCTTGTCCGTCTCCGTCCCCCTCTTTACATAAACTCCTTATCTCACACTCCACCTTGATTTGTCCAACTCCCTCAGCTCCATTTTCATTCGCTGTTCACCACATTTTACTGAAACTTCTCAACATCCAGTATCACCATTTTTAGGTCATGTTTCTTCTCCACTACACATCTCTTACTCTGGGTAGCTCGGAGCGGTGAGTTGTGAGCTGCTGTTTCGATCCTGACAAAACCTCAGACGTGTACTGTCACTTCGAGGAACCATCAGAAGTGCGTTTTCCTTTTCCAGAACCGCACTTACTCACGTCCACGTGAACGAAATAACACAATTGTCGCAGCGCCGTGGTGCTCCCAAGCTCATTGGTGCAAGAAACTGGACTGCTCCTGGCTCCGCCGCAAGCCCTGTGACCTGTCCTGTCCCTTCTCGCGATTGGCCGCGGCCATTATCAGTCCTGTGCAACATGACCTAACCTGACCTGACCTTGCGGTACGTTAGCGTCCGGTTTGAATTTTCAAAGTGCTCGTTATCGGGAGTAAATTTACTCAGCTAGTTGTGAAATATCAATAGATATTTCAAACTATGGTGAAATATCCACTTTCACTATTCGTTTCGTTTTGTGATCTCAGAAGGATCACAACCTCAAAGCGTCATATCGTTAACAGTGAAATATCAGTAGGTATTTTACAGGCTTTTCTCAGTCATTGTACCGCGCAGTTTACCCAACTGGTCGGCCAGTTTTACTTTTTGGGAATTTTTGGTCCCGTTTTAACGCGGGCTTGAGTCATTTTTGGTTGAGTATTTTTTCCAGGGGTTTCGCAATTTGAAGTGCTTTCTTCTATATATTGCTCTTCCCGTACGATACGTGATCTGTATTCATTGCTACTAAAACAACCATGGTACAGCATCGTGACACGTGTGGAGCCAATGCTTGTGGTAGAGCGGTTATTAATGGTATCCAGTGTAACAGATGTGGCTCGTGGTACCACGAAAAATTCTCCAAGATGTCGAAACAGTGCTATGCGCTGCACCTTCAACATGGAGAATTGAAGTGGATATGCGCACACTGCGAGGCTCTGATAGAGGAATGTTCACGCATTGTGAAAGGGGACTTGGTAGGGGCTAGCGTTAAAAATACTGTGAAGGAAAACAATGGAAAGGAAAAAATCACGAGTACAAAGGGAAAGAAACCACGTAAAGGGGCTACGGCTAAACCGTTGGAGTCGATAGAAGTGACTGCACGTATGGAACAGTTGGAGAAAGATCTCCGAGAACTGCAACGCACCACACTCACGCAATACTGGGTCGAACGATAAACGTCTTGCTGCATAAGTTTGCGGAGCCAACGATTCACGATACAAAAGCGGGACGAGAGGCGGATCGCAAACACGTTCAAGATGTTTGCCGACTTGCGGGTATACCGGCCAATGCGCCTTATATTAAATACCACAGTGTTGTGTTGTGAAGACGGAACCAGATAGCCAGACCTAGGCCTATAAAAGTAGTATTTTACAGCACAAACAGCCGGGACATTCTGTACGTCAACCAATTCGCACTTGAGTGACGCGTAGCCGAAACCGATACGAATCCCGAAATAAAACACAATTGATCCGTAATGTTCTGCGGTACTGAATTAGCGAAATCATTACAAAATGTGCAATAAAGCAAACCTCAAATATGCGGCCGAAAGCACTCAAACAAGCGAGCCAAATATGATGTCCAGATAGAGCCAAACAGTCGCTCACGTTCTCTGATCACGCAAAATTCAAATGTGCCGGGCATCGAATTACCAGATAAGTAATAATGTGTGGTGTTTGTGATTGAGAAATGTCAATAGAGAAGCAGCACACAGATAGAGTTATGTCACCATAAATCATCATGGGTTTGGAAGGATTTTCAAAAATTCAACATGAAATACTCCCTCTACCCAACAGTTGTCAGGAAGATTGAAATCACCCTGAACTGGGATCCTTTGGGTCCTCGACGTGAATTCCTGCATTGTGGCAAGTATTCCCATATCTTCTGTGGATTTCGCCTGAGGTGCGCGATAACTAGTGGCACTCCGAATGGTTGTCTTCCCAAAAAGATACTACACGCATTGGCTTGAATATTTGGTGTTGCCAATTTTACTGGTGAGTTCCATTGAACGAAAGCGGCTTTGAAGAGCAGGAGTACTCCTCCGCCTTGTCTGCTGTCCACTCTGGCTATAAGCCGAGTAGTCTCTGAGCTTCTCTACATCATGCCTATGCCGCATCCAAGTTTCAGTAATAGCTATTATCACCGAGTTTTGGGTGCGCGTCGCCAACTCTCCCCACTATCCCCTAACACTGCAGGCGTTAGTATACCACATTGTGACGGTGTCCACCTCCGCCTTCATACAACTCTCCTCTATTGCTTGGGATGGATCCTCGGACGTAATGCCCGAGGAGCTATTACGTTTTTTGATACTATGTTTGCGGGTACCGGGCGATCAGGCTCCGTCAACGGTCAGGCTATACCCCCCACAGACTTCGTTATGCCTTTGAGGGTTAACCCAAATTCTTCACCAAATCTTTTCGTAGGCGCTTGCAGCCTTCTAAGCATGGATAGTGTCCTACTTAGAGGGAGATTGTCCTGCATATTCGCTGCTACCACTGTGACCCAACTAACGGACACTGATTTCGCCTTGCTATCAGCGACCGTAGACTCATCCATCATTTCAACTCCCTCAGCCTTGAATGGCTCCGACAGAGTGGTCTTTAGTGGGCCGTCTGCTTTCTTTTATCTGTTTTCTTCCCGGGGACTCGATTTCGGGATTGCCTCGGCTTTTTCCCCATTCTGCTGTCACCTATTTGCCCATCTGGTTTGGTTTTTAGGGGTTTGAACTTGCTCAACGGTGACCCAGCTGATAGACTTTGATGGACCGTCCTGCGATGGCATGCCTTGACCACTCCTACTCAATGCGCCATATGGGCGATTAGTTTGCTCAGAATAAATTCGGGCTTCTTTCACTGCAATATTGCTGTAGCAGGAACAATTGGCAAGACGCCACACTGGGCGCGATGAACTGTAGCAGGGGAAACTTTGATGCACCCCTTTGTGCATTTCTATTGCAACAGCCCTACAGAACAGGAGGTGTATTTTATGTTGAATTTTTGAAAATCCATCCAAACCCATGATTTATGGTGACATAACTTTATCTGCGTGCTGCTTCTATGTTGACATTTCTCAATCGCAAACACCATACATTAGTTTGGAAACGGCTCATACAGTCAGTACGAAAAATATTGACAGCATTATATGAACAACAGGCGCCGGATGATGAAACTTTGAGTACATTTCTGGTAGGGGCCGAACGGATACTCAACAACCGACCGCTTGTACCCGTCATCAACGATGACCTGCAAGGACTGGCGCTAACTCCGAGTGACCTTCTGTCATGGAGGTCCAATGATGGTCTAGATATGCCAAAATCTATTAGTGGCTGCTTTATCTCAGATTGGAAACATGCGAACTACCTGGCAGGGGTTTTTTGGAAGCGTTGGACAAGAGAGTATCTGCCAACCCCTCAAACTCGACTGAAGCGGTTGCATAGAGAACGGTTGCTGAAGGTTGGAGATGTTGTCCTTATGGCCGACGAAAAGCTACAACGCAACAACTGGCCACTGGGTGTAGTCATAGAAAGCCACACGGACTCAGATGGACTAGTGAGAATTGAACTTGAAGACATCTTCCGGTGAACAGGTGCGCGATATTCGATGAGTGTGTTTATTGGAGGGTGATGACCACCAGGCCGTTACTTGATGGAATTGCGGAGACCCGCCGCGTTTTATGTTGACTTACCTGCCCCTTGTACCAATTGCGCCCCGGTATTATTCACCCCAACTATATGAACACGTGCTTCAACGTCCTTGCCATACGTCCTCTCCATTTCACTTCGCAACTGAGTGTCCTTTAATTAGATGGATAAACAATTTATGTCATTAACCTCGAAGGTGCGACTCATTTCCTCATAGCATCCATCCATTTACATACGCACAGTCACCTGCATGCTGAACATGATTTCGTTTGTAAAACTTGAACATTAATTACATCGCCCACATTCCTGCCTCCTTGTTTAAACATCAATACTTTGTCTGTAATGGTATTCATTTGACCCAGTCGCACGATAACCTTATAGTTATCTTGCGACTGGCTGCAAGCGTGCTGATGCAGAAGGCAGATCCCAACGAAGGAACTTGCAAGTCATCGGAGGTCAAGATCAACGAGTGCGATGAAAGTTGAACAGTTCGCAGTCAGAAGCACTGACAGCAGGGACGGGGTAGGTAGACACATAGACAAGAATCAATGATCTGCGACAACCCTTTGACTCTGACGAGCGCAGGAAGCATTTTGGCGGCCGTGTATTTCATGTTGAATTTTTGAAAATCCTTCCAAACCCATGATGATTTAT